ATCTGTGGTCCCTAACGCAAAGACGCCGTGAGCTCCTGCTTACGGGAACGCCTCGGGGTACGCTCGCACATGTTTAGGACGAGTTCCAGGATTACCTGGGGTTTAAACTCAGCTCTGCCAGGTTTGATATTGAAAAGGATGCACAAAATTTGGAAATTAAATTATCCTTTGCAACAAAAAGCAACTTCAGTCTGAAAAACTTTACATGGAAGTTAGGCCTGAGCATGCAACTTCAGGAAGGCAGCAAATATTTTACTCGGCTGTAAGGACAGATACTCTTGGGCTCCTGAATGATTTTTAAAAAATCCCAAAAAACCAAAACCAACACAGATTCTTGAATTGAAATGAAATCATAAATTAAAGCAAATATATTCAATCTCGTATCTACTTAACAATGTGTTTACTTGCTTAAAGAAACAGGGCAAAGAAAACCTTATTTTGTTAACACAATTTCAGACACAGTGGTTCGGATGGTAACAGGTCCGGAATATAAATTAACGTGTTGTATCTTTACATTACTCTGCCAAAGTCAGGCATGATAACAGCTCCTAAATATCACAGCAAAAAAAAATTACCCCAAAAGAAACAAAAAAGCAGTCACTGCCTCAAGCTGGCATAAAGTCAGAGGAAGAAAATTAAATTTTGAGTCTTTTAAACATTATTTTATTGGTCCTCCTCAGAGCCCTACTTGGCTGTAACTCTTTTATTATGCAGAAATGAATTCTACCTTGCACCCTCTGCCCTGCATCTTGATTTTCATGCCGGTGCCTCCAATATGGGAGTGCATATACTGAAGGCATTAATATTCTTAGCTCCCCCCCTTAAAACCATACATGGCTCAAAAATACCTGCGAAGAAGTCCTCAAGTAAAATAGTATTTCTCAGTAATTTTTTTTTTCCCCAAGGCATTATTTTTGTATTGGCTGCAAGGTACAGCTAATATTTTTGAAGTATTTGGGAAAGCTAGTCTAGTCATAACCGGTCGATGCCCTGAACAACCCATCCACCTTCAGATACGCTATATATTGCGTTCCAGTTTATGATCCTTTCTTTGTAAAGAACAGATTTTAAGTAATTTTTCCATTTTTAAAAAAGCTGCTGTCTATCCGCATTTTGTTTAGAGAAACTCTGCAATTGCGCGCATTAAAAAAAAAATCTATTGCAACATAAATAGAAGTGTCGCTTTATTATATACATATATATATAAAAGATATACTATCACCCAAGAAGGGCCATCTAAAACGCCACAGTTGCAAACATTTAAGACTGTAACAAAAATGACTGAGACTCTAGTATCAGTTTACTATCCTTCAACAATTTCCCTGACAGTGAAGTCAAATAATGTTGAATTATGGACCTTCTTACAGGAAGTCTTATTTCATGTTCATTTTTTGATCATTTCCCTCCTAGTCCCTATAGGAATTTGGCTCTTTGCCGATTTGCCTTTAAAAGTTTCTGCGCACGTAATTGGCTTGTGCATTATTAAATTATAATTTTTGTCAAGTAATACTACTATGGATTTGCTCAACAAGTTTATTTTACGTAAGAAAATACTGTTTTGTCTCTATAAAATCCATCTTACGCTGCTAATGCACTTTATTTAAATGCGGTGGCTACTTTATACCATGTTTTCCTTAAAGGGCTTTCTGAAGGCTTTCTGTAGACACGCTCTTGTAGGGGGATTTTACAGTCCGGACTAGAGCACCTGGGTGCCAAGGTGATGTGGCTTCAAGAAAACAGCCCCACGGTAATAGTTTAGGATTACCTAAGAAACGGAATTTCTGCTATCTGACTACAGACGGTCTTTGGGTTGTTTTTTTTTTTATCGGAGGGAGTTTTCCCACCCGCATCACGCAACAGCTGTGTTTTAAATCTTTCCGGGCTCCGACAAACATCTGAAAATTTAAACATGCAAATGTTTGAAAAGCTAATGATTAAAAAAGGTTTATTTTGAAACTTTGAGGATGGGCGCAATCCTTCAGCTAGGGTTTTTAAAGTCCCGGGGCCTGGTTGATCTCGAGTTCAATTATCCCCAGCGAAAACCCCAAACTCCTGCCTTGTACTTCTGGAGCCGTAATGGTAAACAACAACTCCGCAGGTCCCACCCTGGCAGGCAGCGGGGTCGTGCCCGTGGGAGAAGGATGCTATTTTAGTGACCTATTGCCACTGAGCTAGTTAAATCACTGAACAATGGTTAGTGTTATGGGGCTTTACTTTGCAAAATCTAGCATTAGTGTCATTGCTTTCCATTAACCGGGGGACGTAAAGGCACCGGCACTGAGGGGCCTAGAAGGAAAGAAGAAATAAGGGGAAACCAATAAATAAATAATAAAAAAAAACCCTGTTAACTGTAACCTTTACTACCACAAGACAGGGAAATGTAATTAAATCCATAAGAAAAGCTTTTACGTACTTACTCTTTCACTACTCTCAAACGCGCAACCGTGGGCAGGCTGAGGGACGGCCCGCCCGGCTCCGCGCCCGGGAGCCGGCCCCTCTCTCCCGCCGCCCGGCCCAGCGCACCCGCCCTTCCCAGGGCCGCGCAGC